CAAATCCAAGCGAAATGACTTTTTGTTAGAGACAAGAGATAGCAGGGTCCAACTGTATGTCTGACCTTAAAGTTTTTTCACGAAGAGCGCTTACATGGCACTCCCTATAAGACTTACTGTGGTAGTGTTATCAAGTCTAATTTTAGGAGAATTGTAAAAATCACCTAGAAACGCCTGTTTACCAGTTTTAGTTGATCACTTTGCTGTAGAGTTGTAATGTTGAGCATCCACAATCCTTTCTTCAGTCGCAAGTATTGACCGTTTACGGTAGCCGGGCTGTTACCTTCTTGTAGCGTAGCTGAAAAGTTGAATAACTCTCCGGCCTCGGAAGTGTTTTTGAATTGTACCGTGACTTGCGTATGAACAGCCTCAAGGTCTTCATAGATGTATTTAACCAGTAGACGATAGTCTCCAGTCTTAGGGATGTCCAATGAAACATAAAGCTTGTCCTGTTGGAAAATATATGGCAGAGAAAATTTTACTTAGTTCTAGTTACTTATTAATCTATGTACAACTCAATTTTAAAATTGAGTTGCACATTGAATTTGTTAATTAATTAAATTTTTTTAATAGTTCTATCTTTATTCCTAAAAGCCGTTTTGGGACGAATAAAGCATGTATGTATGTGAGTGTGTACATCATCAACTACAACAAAATGCATTTTTATCATAGCAGTTTACTGGGACAAGAAAATTATCTTAAAAGGGAAATTTTCTGATATACAGAGCCTATGCAAAACATTGGGTCAGGAGAATTTATAGGAAGTAACTGATTGCTATTCTCGACCGAACATAGAGTCTTTTGTGCCATTTTTGATTGTTTATTTTACTTTCAACTTATCGACTTTCATTTTTTCTTTGTCATGAATATAAATTAAATTATTGGTTGGTCGGTTGAGGGGTTTCCAGTTCTTGAGTTCAGTTTTGACCAATGAAAAATACGCAGGAGCAGTGGCAGGTACTCGACGGTGACCTGTCGTCACATCAGCTTGTCGTCATACATACTCGTCAACCTCTGTGTTAAAAGCTGCGTACTCTTTCGAG